TCCAATATGGGTGTATGTACCTTATCCTCCTTCCATCTCTGTATCTAAAAAGCTTACAGAGCTAGCATTCTAGCTATATAGCACTCAGGATACAGGTAGTCCCCGACTTACCACAGGGTTCCGTTCTAATGACTTCATCATAAATCGGTTCTGAAGTAAGTTGAATCCTTTTTTTTTTCATTTTCATTATTATTGCCTTTTATTACCAGTATCTTTATAAATCCAATCTTTGAACATCTGCGAGTGAATATCTGAGAATGATAACATCAGCAAATTTTGTGCTGCAACATTGTGTGTAGTATATATTACTAATGTTAAGATGTACAAAAACAAACAGAAACAAAATGGTGGTTGTCAGCACAGTTTGTTGTAAGTCGAATACACTGTAAGTCAGGGACCACCTGTATTTGTTTTCCAAATGACTTACATGATCCTTCTAAACTTGATAATACTTAGGCTTCATTTGATCACGTGGCTAATGATGAAGACCCTGTAAATAGGGTGAATGAGAGAATCTCATTCTTGACAAATGGAGAAGCCTCTGCTTATTGTGCTGGATGTATTCAGGGTAAGGGCTGTGACCACAGATGTGCCTTACGTTACCCTGTCTCTCCAATGTGCTCTTATTTGATGAGAGTTGGGAAGAGAGTTAAAGAGGAACACAGGAAGGCATGCTAGATTAGTGGTAAACATAGCCTCCCATATCAGAATAACTCCAGCACCCAGTGGAACAAAAACAAGGGTAAATCCGGCCTATCCTTTGTGTGTGTGTGTGTGTGTGTGTGTGTGTGTGTGCGCGCTTTAGGTGAAAGTTTACGGCTCAAGTTAATTTCTCATACAAAAATTTATATGCATATTGTTATGTGACACTAGTTGCAATCCCTATAATGTCACAGCACACTCCCCCTTTCCCGCTCGGGTTTCCCATGTCCATTCAACCAGCTCCTGTCCCTTTCTGCCTTCTCATCCCACCTCCGGACGGGAGCTGCCCATTTGGTCTCGTGTATCTACTTGAACTAAGAAGAACACTCTTCATGAGCATTATTTTATGTTTTATAGTCCAGTCTAATCTTTGTCTGAAGAGTGGGCTTCAAGAATGGTGTTAGTTCTGGGTTAACAGAACGTCTGGGTGCCTTGGCTTTGGGGATTCCTCCAGTCTCAGTAAGTCTGGTCTTTTTACATGAATTTGAGTTCTGCACCCCACTTTTCTTCTGCTCCGTCAGGGACTCTCTGTTGTGTTTCCTGTCAGGACTGTCATTAGTGGTAGCCAGGCATCATCTAGTTCTGCTCTCAGGCTGATGGAGTCTCTAGTTTATGTGGCTCTTTTGTCTCTTGGGCTAATATTTTCCTTGTGTCTTTGGTGTTCTTCATTCTCCTTTACTCCAGGTGGTTGGGACCAATTGATGCATCTTAGATGGCTGCTCGCAAGCTTTTAAAGCCTCAGACACCACTCACCAAAGCAGGATGCAGAACGTTTTGTTAATAAACTTTGTTATGCCAGTTGACCTACATGTCCCCTGAAACCATGGAAAACAGACCTTTACCCCTGCTACTATGCCCCTTGAAGTGTTTGGTTGTGTTCAGGAAACTTCTTAGCTTTTGGTTTAGTCCAGTTTTGCTGGCTTCCCCTGTATTGTGTATTGCCCTTCCCTTCACCTAAGATGATTCTTGTCTACTGTCTAGTTAGTGAATTCCCCTCTCCTTCCCTCCCCACCCTCGTAACCATCAAAGAATGTTTTCTTCTGTGTTTAAACCTTTTCTTGAGTTCTTACAATAGTGGTCTCATACAATATTTGTCCTTTTGCAACTGACTGATTTCACTCAGCATAATGTCTTAGAGATTCATCCACGTTGTGAGATGTTTCGTGGATTCATCATTGTTTTTTATCGTTGCATAGTATTCCAATGTGTGAATATACTACAATTTATCCATTGGTCCATTGACGGGCACCTAGGTTGTTTCCATCTTTTTGCTATTGTGAATAGTGCTGCAATGAACATGGGTGTGTGTATATCTATTTGTGTGACGGCTCTTCTTTCTCTAGGATATATTACAAGGGATGGGGTTACTGGATCATATGATACTTCTATTTCTAGCTTTTTAAGGAAGCCCCCAATCAGTTTCCAAAGTGGTTGTACCATTTTAAATTCCAACTAGCAGTACACACCTCTCCAACATTTATTATTTTGTGTTTTTTGGATTAATGCTAGCCTTGTTGGTATCTCCTTGTAGTTTTGATTTGCATTTCTCTAATGGCTAATGATTGTGAGCATTTCCTCATGTATCTGTTAGCTGCCTGAATGTCTTCTTTGGTAAAGTGTTCATATCCTTTGCCCATTTTTTAATTGGCCTATCTATTCTTGCTTTACCATTTAGCCCCTAACTATATCTGAAAACCCTCACATTGGTTACTCTTACCATCTTGAATGGGGAAGGTCCTATAAAAGTGCCCCGAAATACTTTCAGTCACCCTTAAACCCAATTTACCATATTATTGTTTGTGGGAGTCTTCTCTATTCTGGGCTAATCCTCTTTTTTTTTTTCCAAATTTTTTTAAACTTAATTTTTATTTTTACCAAAGTTAGACATGCACATAATTTAAAGAATCAAAATTTCTAAAACACTTATTATTTAAAATAAAACAAAACAGAGGTCCTCTGCTCAACCATTTGCCCCTTTTTTGCTCCCCAGAGGCAGCCACTTTAAATTTACTTGGTTATTTTAGTGTTTACTTCCATATCTCTAATTAATGTGATTATTGTGCTGCTTCTTGGTTTGGGAGGTGTTTTGACATTAACCATCGAAGAGAAGGGTTATTACCTGCTCAGGCCCACCTCACCCCTCCCATTCAGACACCCCTTTAACCCTCCTCAGATATTCTGTATATGCAGATTCTTGGGGTTGGTCAACCAACCTGAGAGCCCTAGAAGAATATTTAGAGCACATGCTTCCCCTCTAGTTAAACTCTTAACTTAATCTTAATTTTTATCTTAGTCTTAGTCTTAATCTTAATCTTGGAAGCTCCCTTTCACCACCACCTCCACCAGTACACATCATACTATCTGTGCCGCATTTTTCTGAAATGATTGTATCATATTTTTCATTAAACCAGCATTCAGTACTTACCTTGGTATGACAATGTAGACATTACTCGCAGCTGAGCCTTATAGTATACTAAAATTCCTTTTTTGTTGTTGCTTCTTTTTGGAATTTCTGGCTTAAAAACTGGATTGTATTCTGTTTACTTAATTTTCTGTGCACTTAATCCATTCATCAACAAACTCTCTCCCAGTTGTCTAAAATCTTCTCTCAATATATGCAAACTCATCAATTTTATCTTCATGGAGATATCTTTCTCATAGCTTCTGGCCTGTTCCAATATGAAATGTGGTCTCTATGTGTCTCACTGCTGGCATCTTGGGGTCTCCCTTCTTCATTATCCTGGGGATTCCTCTCAGGCAAACAGTTTGATACCCTATTCTTTAGATCCTGTGTCTTCTTCTTTCTTGACCTAGTCCCTTGCAATTGTTGAGCACATTCTCCTGCAGCTTCCTTATAAAAATGGCCTGGGAGGTAGACTTTTTGAGACCTTGTATGTATGAAAGTGTCTGTAATACATCCTCACACTTAATCAATTTTCTGGATATAGAATTCTATGTCGAAAATGCATTTCTTTTCAGAATCATGAAGGCATTGATCTGTTAGTGTTGCTGTTGAGAAATATAAAGCCACTCTGCATCCTTATGTTTTGTAAGTGACATGTCTTTAATCTCTGTCTAATGGATGTTAGTGTCTTTTCTTTATCCCTAGTGTTCTTAAATGTCACAAAGATGCATCTAAATGTGGGTCTATTTTCATCCATTGTGCTGAATACTCAATATGATCCTTTAATCTGAAAATCTATGGTCTTCAGTTTTTCTTGAATCATTTCTTTGCTTATTTCCTTCCCTCTATTCTGTTTGTTCTCTCTTTCTGTAGTTTCTATTATTTGGATGTGGAATCTCCTGAGTTGATTCCTTAATTTACTTCTTTTATCTCTGACTTTCCATCTTTTTGGGGTTTTTTTGCTCTACTTTCTGGGAGATTACCTTAATTTTTCTTTTAAGTCTTATATTGAGGTGTTTTGTTTTTAATTCTGCTAAGATATTTTTAATTTCCAAGAACTCCTTATTATTCACTATATGTTATTTTTATTGCATCTTGTTTTTGATTCTATATTTTCTCTTATCTTTCTGAGAGCATTAATCATAATGCTTTTGAAGTTTTCACTTTTATTCACAGTATTACCTTATTTTTATACAAATAACATGCATGTTATGCTTTTTTAAAAAACTAACTGTATCCTCCCCCATGAAATATTTTCTTAAGTGCTCTATGTTAATTTTTTTACATGTTGCTGTAAAAAAAAAAGCACAGTGCACTTACAAAAGTACCTCCTGCAGAGAGGGTGAGGGTGTGGTTGGCAAAAAATATATAATATGTACATTGCATAAAAATACAGTAGATTTTTGCAAGATATTCTATTTTTTATTTTAGAAGAATTTTTTTGAAGTATCTGACCATCCTTAGCCATCTGTTCATACTTAAGAATGAAAATTTTAAAAAAGCAAATTGGATGTATTGTGCCAATGTCCGTTTCCTGATTTTGATAATGTACTACAGCTATCTATATAAGTTGTTAGCATTGGGGGAAGCTGGGTGATAGGTACGTGGGACTTCTCTGTGCTATCTTTGCTCTTCTTATGAGCTTGTAATTTTTTTTTTCATGTTTTCAAGGCTTTTTTATTAGAAAACTTAAATTATTATTTTTTGTATAAAGGGAGTAGCCAATATCCATTTTTGAATGTTCTCAAGCAAATAATAGTAAAGAATAGCAAACTAGGATAAGAAAACATTAGAAGATGGCTTTCTACTTCATACAACTTCTTGTTGCCTTTTCCTATCCATTCACCTATTTCTGGTCAGCAGCAAGAAAAACAAAATCCATTTATCTTTGTCTTTTTTTGGGTTTTCCAAGATGAGCTTCATTTACTTGAATACAAGCAAAAGCTAGAGAAAACGGCTTTTATATTGGCATAGACCAAGTACATGTTTCACGAACTCGGAAACCCTGCCTTCTATGGCTTCTTTTGCAGTTTAAAGTCCAATGATTATATAACCAACTGAAAGTCAAACAATGCTCAAAATGACACAGATTGACAACAAATAACGGAAACAATGGAATACCCTTGGCTGTCATTTTTCCTAATAGACAAATACCTAGCATTCTGTAAATAAAATTATAAATACTAAAGAAATGATGAGAATTTCACAATGGGGAAAGGATCATCTCTTATCATAATAAATATTTTGGTACAAATTTAAAAAAACGTAGAAAAGTTTAGTACCTTTGGGTACTTTTTTCTAATAAAACCATACCTGCTTCAGAACTTGTTTGATTATAGCTGCTAACAATGCTGTTTGGTATCACTGGAGTGGAGGACGTTGAAATTCTTGACTGAGGTGGATTGGGATGTAATGAATTTCCTAAAGCCATGCCCGACTGACTGAGCATCCCACAGTTCCCGCTAGCCTGAATCTGATTTATTAAACCTGCAAGATGGTGGTTTGGGACTGGACTATTACTGTGAACAAAGTTAGTGTTTGCATTGTGGCAGTGCACGGCTTCCCCTCTTAAAGGTATGTTCTGTGTCAGTGAATTCTGAAGAACACTGGAGTTCATATTGGGATCTGTAAAATGCAGCTGGTTAGCAGAGCAAGGCAAAGCAGTATTTGAGCCCCCACAAACCGGGGTACTATTGCTACTCAAGTGAGAGCTTTGACAACTCATAGACTGTAGTGACTGAGACACTGAACTGATGGGAAATGAACCCTGACCCTGCTTCCTTAGCAAGTCGGGTCCAGGTTTAGGAACTGTAGAACTATCCACTTGAGACTGTCTGAGCAAGCTCAACACTGTGGTAGGTGGCTGTTTTCTTTTCCGCATTGAGTCTTTTTGCTGAGACATCAGCTTATCTCTTAGTGCTGCTCGACCACTTTGCCCTTCACCTGTTGGGAGAAGCATGTTGGCAGTAGGAGGGAACATGGTGTGTAAAGTGCCATGTCCTTCAGTGTTGCCACTGCTGGAAACAGCTCCAGAATTGCTACTGCTGCTACTGTTGTTACCAGCAAGTTTGTTTTGATTTGCTAGCTGTGCTTTGGCTGCTGCTGAGAGTAAACTACTTGCTGGAAAGGAGGCAGCATTGTGCTGGTTCAAGATCTGATTTAAAGGCATTCCCAGCAAACCAGGCTGACTCTTTACAGAACCACTTCCAGCAGATGCAGTAGGGAAAGCTGCACTGCTTGGGGGTATTTAGTACATTATTCATTCCAGCAATTAATGAATTAGGGATACCTTGTATTGATGATATCCATCGGACTTGATAGAAGGGCTTGATGGCGTTGATGGTCTTGGGGACCCTATTGTCGACCTTGGTAACCTGGGTGGAACCTTAATACCACTACAAGTGGCCTGGGGTCCTACAGGTGGCATCATGAAATTTCCATGATCTGATGACGTGGAAGATGAACGTGATCTTTGGGGGGATGCCTCGATCCTTCCAATTCCAGTCCCCATCATGTGCACTGGGGATGTCACTGGAGAAGGAGACAGGGAGGTTGAAGCTGAATGCTGAACTCTTTGTACATGACTCCCATGATTCATGTGCCCAGGTTTTACAGTTGGCAAAGGGAGATTACTTGGCAAAGGAACAACAGCAGGAGGCATGCTTACATTCATCACAGCTACCTGAGAGTGGACATTTGAATGGAAATTGGTTGGATTAATGATAACAGGGTTCTGATTCACCGGTTTACTAGGAATAGGGTCAAGAATGCCAAGTGGATCTTTCTCAGATGTTAATGGCTTTTTCTGAAGAGCACAAGAAGGTGGAGGAGGGGGTGGTGGGTCTTGGGGTGGTGTTTGGTGGAACATTGCTCGTGGTATTTCCATATTACTTGAAAAATTACACATTGGTTTTTTCATTACTGGACTCTTTGTAGTCAAGGTTGGGGAAAGAGCTATATTAGTCCTTCCAGCCATTGCACAGGATGAGTGTGCAGGAGAACCGTGTAGTATTACTGAAGGTGGAGAAAGTGGAGTCCTATTCAGGTGAATAGGACTAGAATTGGGAGCTCCATGAAAACCAGGATTACTTCTTGTGAAAACATCAGGGCTTCCAAGTGGGTCAGTCCTTGGAGAGATTGAGCCATCTCCATATATCTGGGATCCTAATGATGCTGGGCTGGGCAGGCCTGCATGGCTGCCATGGAATGGAGACTTCTGTCCATGTTCACTGCTGCCCAATCTCTGCCAGGGGTAGATGGGGTGGAGTTCTTGTTGCTGGCTCCCAGGCAGTTCTTGTACATACAACCTTCCCATAGCATTTGATGATCCAATCATTAACTTGAAAGGATGCTTACATTCCGGCATCACAGAATTTGTAATTCCTTCATGAGACTTATTTCTTACTGATCTTGCTGCCCGAGAAGGTACTACTGGAGTTGCATTTGTTCCTCCTCCAGAACTGGTGAGCACCAGAGAAGGATGTGGGGCTTTCATGCTTTTATGAAGTGTGGCTACTGCAATGATCTTTCTTTTATGTATGCATAGCTTTGTGACATCTTCATCTGCTTTAACATCTTCTGCAGTTCTCTGTTTCACAGCAGCTCCAGGATCAAAATTAACTCCTTGGGAAGGATAAGAGGACATTCCAAGCCACACTTGCATGTTCCGTCAGTAAGCAGGTATGTTCTAACCTGCTCCAGGCAAGATAACAAAGACCAACTGGGACTGACATAAAGCACTCCATTTTGATCCACTCAACGCTGCCAACCCACAGGAGCTTGTATAGCTGGAAGACCTCCATCCTTGTCCCCTCCGTCACACTCCTTGCCTCCATTCATTTTCTGTGTCTGCTTGGGACTCTTCAAAGATATCAGCAATAAGATGATATCCTTATATTACACGGCATGATGGCTTTCAAAAACAGGCCAATGCAGCACAGCTTTTCCCAGACTGTACAAAATGCATTGGGAAGCTTCAGCTCAGTTTGGAACCAAGTCCTCAAAATCTGCCACTGTGAAAAATCAGTTTCCCATTATTAATCTACATTAAATAACCAATATGTAATTCTTACAGGTGGTCTACATGGGTAAAAATGAGTGCTTCTGATTAAGGAAACTCATAACTGATTAATGCTGGCACCTGCCTGAAGTGGGAAAGAGGGGGAGTGTAAAGTTTTTATTTCAACATTAGTCTTGAACTTTGATGGTGGCCTAAAATAACCTCTTTTGTTTAGAAATCCGTCTCATTTTTACAGTGCGAGTCAGTTAATATTTCCAGGTACTACCCGTCTTTATTGGCCACATTCTTTAAACTTTCTATCTTCCAATCTGAATCCAAGGTGTTGCAGGTAGGTTCATCTGATGTTTTCATGTCTTCAAAATTCCAATAAGATAGCCTGAAAAACTGGACAATGTGGTAACACTAGATCAACATTCCTGCCTGGCAACAGTTATCTGGAGTGGAGCAGTGGTTGCTCCTCCAGAAAGAACTTGGCTCTCTAGTTCACTGCGGTGGCTTCCTGCTTCCAGCCTGGCCTCTGAAGGCACTTGGGTTTCCAAACTCTTCTGGAGAAAAACTGATGAAAACATAACAAGAGTTGTGAGATCCAGCAGCGTAGTGGAGGCAGTAAATCTCCAGATGCTCTACACCTTTATGAGTCCTTGTAAGGGAGTACCTCTTCTCTCTCAAAAAAGTTGTTGACGTCCTCTGTGGCCATCTGCCAAGGTGGTCATTCTTCTGCGTTTGATGGATTTAGAGAAACATCAGGGTTGTATGGATTGATGAAGGAAAATATTCTGTGCTCTTGGCTTCTGTTATTTATTTCCTTGGTCCTATCTTTTTCTTTTTGACTTAGACATCTCGCCATTCTTGGCCCAATTCATTATCTTGAGTGTTAAACTTTTAAAGATCTTGTTTGTAAACCATATGACCTTCAATATCTACTTCCCACATGAAGAAACTGACATCCTTTGTGAGCATCTTTCCTGCCCCCCACTTTTGAGTCCCTTCCCTGGAGTGCGCATGTCCCTCTCTGATGGGAGTCTGGTTGGTTGAGGGCAGGAGGAGGGGAAGGGGAGGAAAATCTATTATTTTTTTAAGTAGAAAAAAAAGCTAATTGGAAATTCCAGGTGTCCAGAGAGTGGAGCTTGTTGCCTTTGGGCTTCACTGAAGGGTGGTCTGGCTAGGCCCTTTCACTATAATATCTGGTATGTATCATAATTACCATGGTTCAGTAGTGGATATTTTTGTATTCGTTTGCTCATTCAACAAATATTCCTTGAGCTCCTCATACGTGCTAAGCACTCTCAAGGCACTGATGCTGCCTGAAAAAAGATGTGGAGAAAAATGACAGAACTAGTAATATTAACAACCACCATCTCCTTTAAAGCATAGACACAAAGGATTATCCTCATCAGATGTATGAATAATTATGATAGGCAACAATCTGTAATCAGTCCACTTTCTACTACCTATTGAAACATCCATTTAAAAAATATTTATATATCATTATCATGGCCTTATTTCTTTTTTTATTGTTGCAAAGCTACTTGAAATTCAAAGTGCTGATTCAATTCAGTGTTCCTGAAAGGGGATCTGAAGTGCCAGATATTAGACAAACTACTATCTGAAAATTACTTTTATTTGTCTATGAACTTTGATATTATACATGAAATGGAATTCCCAAAGTGCACATGGCACTTCAATGTTTGTCCAGCACTATGTGGGGTGTTCTTCAATCACTTTCATAAATGTCATTTGTCTATAGCTTGGGAAACTTTACTCAGCAATCAGGAACTGCTGTCTGTATATTACAAAAATGTTAAGTCTTCCTTGTTTAGATAATGGGAGATAGCATAATAGTTAAGAACATGGACTCAGGATCTAGATTACCTGGATTCAAATCTTGGCTCTGCCATTTACTGACTGTGTAAACATGAACAAATTATTTATGTCCTTTATGCCTCAGTTTCCCCCTCTGTAAACTGGGGACAATGATAGGATTAGCTGAGTTAATTCATGTTGAGAACCTTGAACAGTACCTGGCTCTTATCATTATAAATATTGCTTTTCCCAGATATAACATGTAGGAAAAAAAAAAAAAAAACTGATGAGAATTTCTCTTGCAGAATTGTGACCCATCTCCTTTTTTTACTCTGTGCCATGCTTGTTTTTCCTTTGGTTGTTAAAATGTATTCCCGCATTGAATATATAAAGTCTCATAACCTCTTCCTTTCTCTTGCCTCAATTCCTTAATAAAATTAACAATTCCTTACATTTTTACAGTGCTTAAATCATTTGCAAATCAAATTCTCACTTTTTTTGGCCATTGGAACAATATCATGATTGTTACTATCCTATTTTTAAGATAAGCAAATTGAGATTCAAATATTAGGTGACTTTCCCAGGGTCCACACTTAAACCTGGGTTCTTTCATCAGAAATTCTATGCTCTTTCCATTTTATCAAATAGTCTCCATATAAGCAGCCACTGACAGGAAAATACCTATTTCAATTTGTACAGATTTTGTTTTAATGAAATGACTTTGTCTTTGAAGAAAACGCTGACAGAAATGACTCTATGTACAAGGATATAGCTAGAAAGATAAATTCAGCCCAAAGTGATTTCACATTGTTGACAGTGGAAGGAGGCTGTTTTTGGCAAGGGTGTTACTTTGGGTGATTCAGACTCCCAGACCCTTGGTGAACTTAATGCTTTGCTTAAAAAGAGAACAAGCAAGACCCTTGCAACTGACCCCAATGTCATTCAGTCATTCAAAGCAAACTGTGAAGGTATATATAGTTTTAAAATATATACCCATATCTATATTGTCAATTTGAAGTGCAGGTCCAGGACAACAGATAAGATACTTGTTAGGAATTTGATAACACTTAAAGGATCTGAAGGACCAGATAAGTATTGAAAATTGTTGAAACATTTGGCTTTTGCTGGGTTATAAACTTAAAAGTGTGGCAACATTGGATTTTGTAATTTCACCCCTTTTGTTATTTCCTACCCTTATCCCTGGTAAGGAGAAGTCCTTGTAGCAGAAAAGCGTATCAAAGGTCAGCATTGAGAAGTTATCAGTATTAGCAGAACATAGGGTTTTTTGTCCTCTAGGTGCTGAAATACAGTGGTGCAAATGGTTAGGGGCACTGGGCTGCTAACCAAAAGGTTGGCAGTTCAAACATACCCAGAGGTGCCTTGAAGGACAGGCCTGGAGATTTGCTTCCAAAAGGTCACAGCCTTGAAAACCCTATGGAGCAGTTCTACTCTTCACACATGGGGTTGCCATGAGTTGGAATCAACTCGATGGCAACTAACAACAACAACAAACCTGATAAAAGGGGAAGGGAACGAGAAATGAACAACACAGTACTCAAAGGAAGAAGAGTGGAGGAAGAAAGAAGAGATGAAAGAGAGAAAAGACCTAAGCTCTCCATTGGAGAATGATTGTATGGGTTGGAAGTTGATCAGTGGCAACTGCAGAAAAATGTTCTGTACCCATCTCACTTCTCCCAGTGTGTCCATGACTGGCTATTACTAAGACTGATTAGTCTTTCCTGATAACAAAGGGTGCTACTACAGGATCCCAAATGTTGTGGCACCTAACACAGGACTACAGAGGCAAAATTATTCCTCAGCGTGAAACTAGACAGAATTGTCCAATATGAACATTTTGAGAGTTAAAAGATTGTTCAGTTATCTTCCTTGAATTATTTTCTTCTATTTAAGCATAAATGAGCTAATTGACCAAATGCCTAAATATCAGTGAAAACCCTGCTTGAAGACAGGGCATTGACAAGACAATGCTGTTAAGGACTTTCTGACCCCTTGAATTCTTTATGCAGCTGAAACCTTCCTGTTGTTTTTAAACCAGTTGCTTTTGAGTCTGTTCCAACTCAGCAACCCTGTAGGACAGAGTAGAACTGCCCCATAGGGTTTCCAAGGAACAGCTGGTGGATTTGACCTGCTGACACAGCAGCCGAGTTCTTAACCACTGTGCCACCAGGGCTCCTTCCTGTTGTATCTATAGCATTAAAAAGTTGAAAATACAGTTGAATGAATTATTTCATTCTTCAATATCTAATAAAATTTTTTTTAAAAAAGCAAAACTCACCATCAAGTTGATTATGACTCGTGGAGACCCCGTGTGTTACAGAATAGAACTGCTCCACAGGGTTTTCTTGGCTGTGATCTTTACTGAAGCATTTTGTCAGGTCTTTCTTCTGCACAGCTGCTAGGTGGTTTGAACTGGCAACATTTTAAGGTTAGCAGCAGATTGCAAACCACTTGTACCACCCGGGCTCCTTCAGTATCTAATACCTCTGCATAATTAGATCCTTATTCTTTCTATATCCTTTGTTTTAAGTCCTTTATTTTTAATATAGATAATACATAAAAACAAAAGAACCTTAAAAGCTAACAGTTATATTTTGTTAGTGTCCCTTTTACATTCTTTGTTTTAGCCTATAAATCATATGGGAAAGAACACAAGTTCTTGAATATTAATGTATAAAGATTTCACTTGTAAATCTAAATTTCAAACAGAGAGACTTTGTCCAATCATCTCATTTGGCCAGGAAGACTTGAGGCTGGGTTTTGCCCCCTGACCTTCTCGCCTTACTCCCCACCAGATGGAGGATCCCTACTCTAAATGTAGAGGCTTCACTCTGTTAAAAGGGAGGTGCCTTCAGGCACAAAGAACAACTTCTAATGTGGGCTGTTCAAGTGTTCAGAGATAATTTGGAGGAAAACAAGTCCTTATTTGGGGCTGTTTACTCTTTCTGGCCCTCTCCCTTGCCTGGGACCTCAGGTGGCCTCCTTTCCTGATGGTTAGAGAACTCTCCAGAGGACCCCACTGAGGTGCTATTGCCCCAGGAAGCTTGTCCATGGCCTAAGTCAGCTGACTTTTCACCTTTAACACAGACAAGCCTGATATTGGCAAGACTACCTTTCCTCTGCCCCTTTCAAGGTAACAACACATTTCTCAAGTCTGAAGAGGCAAA